AAGAAGGATTTTCCTTCAGATCCGAAACATCTTCTTCCAGCATCCTTCTCATCCTGTTGCGACATGAGCAGTTTTCTCTGATAAAGAGCAGGTGTGGGTTGGTTTGAGTTTCATGGCTTCGGGCTTGCAACGTAACCCAAGATCCACTGGCTTGCGGAAAAAGGACGCTGCTCCTTCGCAGATGTGGGCAGATGTGGAGGTCAAGGAGGATATGTTGTCTGTTTAAGTTGCACGGAAGACGGTCAAAGCCCTCAAATGTGCTGGAAGCCTTGGGAGGCCTAGTAGCCAGCAGTATGTCCCGACCTATTGACCAACTCATCGGTACAACTGCTTGCTAGGTTTCTCCGAGCCTTCGTCAAGCAAGAGGGGGCTCAAAATAACAGAGAAGACCTTCCAAGAGCCCCAAGCTTCTTCCGGATGCCCTACCCTGGTCTGTGAGATCCCTATCTCTAAACCCTAAACCCCACAAGATGAAGTCCTCGTTCACTAGCATCCTTTGGAGGTTATTGCGGGGCCTTCTCTGGTTCAGGTAGTAGCAGGTCTGCCTAAGGGGAGCCTGGGAATCAAGCAATCATAATACTTTTCTGACTATGCCAGGTCTGGCCTCTGCATCTTAGCCTTAGGGCATGTTTAGGATTATGACCTTTGCTGCTATCATTTTTCATCCGCGGGCGCTGGAAGCTGTGAGAGCTTCCTTTCAGCGGCGGCAAACCAAAGAGGGTTCAGCCCCTTGCCTGTCAAGCGAGCCAAAGTCGGACGTTTCGTCCGCCAGGATTCATTTCCGGCTTGACTCTTGGCTCGACTCGAGATTATTTGTTTGATTCTCTGCTCCATCATTGCCATCCTGCTTCTGGAGTGGCCGTCGAATATTCGGGCCAAGAAAAGCACTCCCAAGTCTGAAGCCCGTGCCTTCCCAGCTGTAGTCCTGCACTTTTCGTGAGTGTTACCTCTTAGTTATTGGCAAGGTCCCTCGTTCATCAACAAAAGATGGCGCGAATGCATCTAGGTATTCAAGATTACGCGACATGCAACCTGTGCACACCTCCATTAATCAAATAGCTCATATCATATGAACCGGCAAAAATGACCCTGAACCCTACACCCTAAGCCCTAACCCCTAGCCCCAATCTTGAGAATACCCATGTCGCCACTCCCACTTCAGAAGCCGGAGGGCCCCAGGATTTTCAAACCTGAGAAGCCAAGGTTTGAGGTTTAGAGCCGTTTATATGAAGTTTAGTTTAGGACTCAAGGTTAAGTTCTTGGTGTGAACTTGGAAGTTCTGGCTTTTTGGACAGGCCAAACACTGTGGGGCCTCCATAGGTGTGGATGTCCGTCCGAAGAAGATCCCTGGCATGCTCCTAGCAGTTCTTGCGTGAAATTGCCCGCAAGAGATTCGTAGGGACTATTCAAGCCTCCTTCTGAACTCATTACTAGGCCTGCCTCATTTGGGGGTGGAGTTTAGTCAGGCGCAACTGCGGGGAGGAACTCATGATTGCGCTGGGTGCCATCAGAAGCCGAGCAATTACTGTTCGGCCGAGTGGCACGTGTTTAAGAAAAGTCCTCAGGAAGTGACTGCATGCTTTCCCAGATGCGCAATGCATCCCAGACCAAGTGTTGGCAGTTGCCTGAGATCTTCGCATTTCCGAAGCAAGGCGCCAGCTGGATGTCCTTGGAGAGTTTCCGAAAACAAAAGGCCCCCATGTAGGGGGTACATGAGCGAAATCCCTATCAAGGATTTTCTGGAAACTGTCATGTTCACCTGCAAGACCAGCCTAGTTCAGCATGCCAACCAAGAACAGGTGATCGTTTTTCTGTGTGCCTGCACTCCCCTCCATATGTCCCTTTCTGGGGTACCCTAAGTATTAGGGGCCATAGGAAAGTAGGGACCCCAAAGAACAACCATACTCTTGGCAACGCCCCATATTCCAGTCGTACCCTAACCAAGGTTGCCTCACGGCCAGTCTAGGGTTTAGGTTTTGTGATTTGGGAAGAGAACTGTGAAGGATGGAAGGGGGAGGGCGTGCTTCCCTTGAGCATCTAATCCTTAGCCCGCGCACCCACAGCCCTCACTCCAAGCAAGAACCCTAAACCTGAGTGCACCCTAGACGCTTATCTCACCTGCTTTAGACCTTAACCTTGATGTACTCACAATTACTTTGCTACATTCGGCGCCCCTAAACCAACCCTACACCCCCAACCCCCTCCCCAAGCTCTCCGGCCCTATACTCCAAGTCGTGCCCACAGCCAGAAATCCAACCAATGGCCCTGCTAGCACTTGCAAGTCTGCTCGGGATCCCTCTAGATCCCATCTTCTATCCAATCCTCAGGAAGCTCTTAGATTTGAAATCTTCATCAAACAAACACACTCTCCAAAAAGCTGCATTCAATCCCCAAACCTGGAGCCGCGTGTAGGGCATTTTCCAAAACTGAGGTTCTGTTTTGGGGTCCTGTAGTCTAGATTCCCTTCTTTCTGCATGGGTTAGGATAGGGGGTTGGGGGTTTGGCATGAGCGTGGCAGGTGACTGGAATTTCTGCAGCCATCTTGTGTGGCCCACAGAGACAGACGTGGGAGGGGCATGATGGCGGCCACGCTGGGACTGGGAAAGAAGTCTTGGGCATTGCCTGCTGACCCCAGCCCCTTATGCATTTGCGTGCTCAATGAATGGTGCCAGGCCGCGCAGGCTGAATTGCATTGGGAACTTCACCAGAAACTTGGCCAGCATGTGGTTGGCCGACCTGCCAACATTCAGCTGGGTAGCGTAAGAAGCTCTAGCACCACACAAGATCCGGAGCAGAAGTGCTTGAATGGTAGTTCCAGTGAGAAATGCTGCTGCAAGGGGCAGCTTGGAAGTATTCTGCAGCGGCGCCTGTGTCGACCGATCATCCCGGGTGACGTTGAATACATCTCTCAGCGAAGGGGGTCTCAGTGGATTTGCACCGTCTATTTACATTGTGTCTTTGTTGAGGGATCCCCACCAGTTTGCTTCACAGGTGGCTTTGCAGGCACCAAGAAGGAGGCTGAAGAGAGCACAGCTTGGGAAGCACTTTCAAAGCTTCAGGTGACGGATGCGCAGCTGCAATTTGTTGACAAACAGCTCGATGGCAACAGTGAGCTGTGCAAGTTGTTGCAGCAGCTGTTGGGGAGGTCTGTCCGCCCTGAAGATTTCGTGTGGACCTACGCTTCGAATGAGAATTTATTCGTTGCTTCAGTTGAGGTTCCGGCATGCTCCTTGGCAGCAACCAAAGGTGCTGCATGCAAGACCAAAAAGGAAGCGAAACAGAGTGCCGCACAGTCGGCTTTGAGCTTGCTGCGTAATCGTTGCCAAGCGGAGCCACATGCAGCCATGCAAAAGCGAGAGCTCGTTCGGGCAGTGCCAACTCCGCAAAACAAGCCTGGCCCCAACTTGATGGCTGGCAGGGACAACAAAAGCGAGCTTTGCAGCACCTTGCAGATGCTGTTAGGCAGATCGCTGACATCAGAGGATGTGCAATGGAGTTTTTCAGTGAGGCAGCAGCTGTTTGTTGCTAGCGTGGAAGCGCCAGCATGCGGGCTTGATGCTACAGAAGGTTCTGGCTGTATCACGAAAAAAACAGCTGAGCAAAGTGCAGCTGCCATGGTTCTGATGGCACTGTGTGAGTCAGGAACCCGCACAGCCAGCACTGGCGAAGTCGCAAGGTCAGAGCCACCTCGTCCGTTATCGCCTTTAGCGAGCCAGGAAAATGCGGAAATCTCCTCCATATGCCGGAGATATTACTTCGAGGTGAGCGTGACCCACGATGGGCAGCTTATTGCACATGTGTGTGGCCAAGGATTTGAGGACAAGCAGTTGGCCAAACAAACGGCTGCATGGCAAGCATGCCGAGCCCTCTCAAGAGCCCGAGTGAAATTCATTGACTCGGATGCCACTACTGGCAAGGCCCGGCAAAAAACGTCAAAGGTTGCATCTGAAAGCTTCAAGCAACCAGCAATAACCAGAAACATCTTTCCATTTCCTGAGTCACTGACCTCAGATCTCAATCCCTGAACCCTAAGCCTTAATCCGCGCCAGGAAAAGGCAGCATTGGCCCCTTGCTGGCACGGGGACCTTCGGGAAGTCTGCCTCGCAGCAGGCCGGCGCTGCGCACAGTTGCGCCTCCGAAACGGGTGGTCTCAGAAGGAGCTGGCAACCAGACGGCAGTTTTCTTTAGGATGATTTGGCGAGGCAGCCACAGATTCGAATGGTGGTTCCTTTCACGGTGAATAATGCCCGAAGAGCATTCTGAGTATACCCATGAAGTTTGGACAGATAACTAAAACTGGGAAGGGCCTTGATAGGATCATTGAGAGAAACAACTCGAAATCCAGATAAAGGGTTTTGGGTTGTGACCTGAGTGTGGTCCGTTGCAAGGCTTTATGGGCCAATGCCCTAGACGTTGAGTACCAACAATAGGTACGGTAGTTTAATTTCAGTAGTCACATAACAGTTGCAATTTAGAGTAGGTTCTTACCAGCTGCATGCTATCAACAGCCAATCCGAGATATATTGTTTCAAGCATGGGGAAATCGTAGTACCTTTTTTGGCTTGAAAAGCCTATCCTCTTTTAGTTTGATCCTTGTTCTTCAGCAAAGGCAGCCCGGCTTGACGTGAAAGCTGCTGTGGTGCAAGACCTGGAGTCCGCGGGGTTGATGCCTGAAGGTTGTTCTGCAGCATTAGTAGGGTTTGGGGGCTTAGGGTTTAGGTAGGGGTTTAGGGTATTGTGCTTTCAGGATGAGAGTTCACTGATGCTTCTATTCATGCGCCATTTTGCTGTGTGATAGATTTTTCTAAGCTCCTTCGAGTAGTGTTGCAGGGCTTTTAGATAAGATCAGAAAAGCTGACTTGTACGCTGGGCTGCAGCTAGCTAGCTCTCTTGCGAGTTCGTCACGGAAGTCAGCCAGTCAAGCTTCCACTTGGATCCTATTGAAAAACACTGGAAATAAAGTTTGGGCCTAACTAGTTAATCATTTCTCTTGCTTGGAGGTTCCGTGATCGATATGCTGAACCAGGTGTTGGGAGAGGCTTTGCCCAGAGAAAGGGCATCCCGGGCAAACCACATGGGGAACAATCCGCCACTGAAGCAAAAGTTGCCGATGAGACTCACCCTTGAAGACTTCATGCCAGATGATTATGAACAGTTTATATGCGTTGCAGAGCACATGCCTGCAGAAGACGCGGACGGCAGTTGATCGGCTTGAAAGCATTTCTTCCTGTGGGGAAGCGTGGAGAGAAATTGCCAGAGCCAGAAAAGACATACGCGTGAACCGACACTCAGGGTCTATGATTCATTTGCACAACCCCCTTGCCCCGTATTACAGCCAACTACTTTTGGGTGTTTTAGGCCTGTTCGGATGATGCGGGTCTTGGTTTTGGATATTGGTCGTGACAGCAAGGGGATGATTTTGATGTTACAGTCTGCACGGGGTGCCCTCCCCCTTGACCGCAGTGCACGAGATGGTCTTCCTATTCGATTATGCGTCAAAATGAGTAGTGCCAGAGGGGGACCCAGCTGTCTTGACCACTTCATGCACCCATTTGGTAGTTTCCTTAAACTCGGGGATCCACATGTAGACCCCAATACATTGTATTCCTTATTATGGGGACCCCCGAAATGGTATTCCTAGTTTGGGGAAAGTCTCATCTAGGAGCCTTGTTCTTGATCCCCTGGCCTGCTCCTGGCATTGGAGCACTTGGCCGATGACACGCAAGACCCAAGTTGGTTTGTCACAATAAACGGCCTTTTCCGTAAGCCTGCTTGAATGTTATTGGATTCCAGGCGGGTTTGCTTGAGTACCTGAATACCCGAATCCAAGCTACGTCAGTTCACGCTAGCAGGGTCAACGTCCTGGGTGGAAGCGTGCAACCTGTTCGCTACAGCCTAGGCTCGGGCAGCTGCGCCTGCTTCTTGCCGAGTGTGAAGGGTTGGAGCCCATGATCATGCAAGTGCTAAGGGTTTAGAAGGGTGAGGCTTAGGGGATTGAGATTTAATGGTGTTGCGGGAGAAGAGTGCGCGTTAGCAGTCCAGGCAACGCAAGACCACTCTGCTGGGAAAAAGGGGGGTGTTCTTGCAGGGCTGGGACTGAATCATGTGTAGTTGCCATAAATTTGAGGACCCCAGTTTAGACCCCAAGATGTCATAATCCTTTTTATGGGAACCCCCAAAAGGCACCCCTAAGTTTGGGAAACCCTCCTATGTAGTTGAGAGGTAGTCGCTGCTGTGCTAGCTGTGCTAAAGGGTTGTCGAAGAAACCCTAAACCGTAAACCCCAAATTGCAGGGAATTTAAGGGGAGTCTGGCGAGGTCATATTGTTGAACACCGCACACCCAGTGAAATCAAACATGTCCCACAACATGCAGGTAGGTAGTAGGTCTTTTTTTACGGTTTATACAGTATCTAGGTTGGGGGGGGGGTGGAGCGTGCAAGAGTAGGTCAAAGGGGTTGCAAACCACTCCAAAATTGAAATCCATGAGCTAGCACTCTCACCTTAGAAAACCCCAAATGGCCCTTTCCATCTTACATGTGTTGGTGCTTTTCTTGAAGTTTTGTAGTTGGAACGTCAGGCATGGTTTAAAATGAAATATTGCCTGGTATGGTTCCGGGCTATTACTGTTCTCGCAAGCTAAAAGGACTGAGCTTCCTGTGCCAAAAGCAGGCCGATGTCCCTTTCTCCGTGTGTGGGTTTCCTGCCACCCAGAACATGTATCATGCAGGGAAGCTGTTTATTTCATTGGTACCCTTTGCGGCACCAAGTTCGCAACATGCTGGTCGGCTCTCGCAAGTCTCTAGAGGCATGACGGATCAGAGGAGAGGTGATCTTGCTGATGACCTGCTTTGCGGAGGATACACGCAGTTCTGGGTTTACGGCCTGGAGTTCCAGCAGTTCTTTGTTGGGGTCAAGCATTGTCTTTGACAGGAAAGTGCCGTTGGTTTCCCGGCTCAAAGCGTGTCCTTAGACTTTAGATACACTGATGTCCAACTACTTGGTGCATAAACTTCAGAGACGCGGCGCAACGCCTTTCATGCCGTCATCATCATCTTGTCATGCTCATGTTCCGGAAAGAAGAGCAAGATTCAAGTGAGTCTTTCAATTGCATTGTCTGAGGTCTACAGCCTTCAAGAGTAGGAGTTATGTGTTGTCGGTCCTGATGGCTGTGGAAGCTCTCGCGACAAGCTGCGAGAGCAGCACCAATGTCCCGCGGCTATCTTAAGAAAGAGCCCTTCAAACTGCGCTCAATGATCTCTGGCTTTCTTTTCAGACAAGAACCACTGTTTTTTTGCATTGAAGTTGATTTCGCTGCCTTAATTAAGCGTTAATGCCATACCAGACACCTCAGATAGCAGAGAGTTGGGGGAGGGAGTATAGGCACTGGTTTATGGATTAGGGCTTAGAGTTATAGAGTTATAGACCTAAACACTAGACCTTAACCCCTGGTATGCAAAGGAAAGGGCTTATTACCGGGGTCCGCTCCTCCGCTCCCTTGAGCACCTGTTCAAGTGCATGAGCTTTGCAAAGTGAGTTCCCTGCGACCGTACTCGGTGCTCGGTACATCATCTGCTTTTGCATGACCAAATGCCTGTAACGCCAAGCCCCGGACCCCAGCCACAGGCTCAAGCTCAGGACACCCCAATCCCCCGGACCTGCAGCCTCAAACCCTACACCTTAAACTCTATCCCTAAACCGAAACCCTATACCCTAAACCTTAAACCCAAAAACCCTAAACCCTAAACCCAAATACTTTAACCCTAAACCCAAATACTCTAAACCCGCCCTAACAGCCACTGCCAGCCGAGGTCCGCTGCCTCACCTGTTGCTAGGAGGCCGCGCGGCCGGAGGCAGGGTTTGTTGCCTTTGAGATGTACTGTTATTGGGGGCTTATAGGGTCTACGGTATAAAGGGTTGTGGGTTTTGGGTTTACTTATCTGCAAACGATCTGTGACTGGAGGTTGGGGGTTAGGGTTCAAGAAACGTTTCCGGGCTTTTTGAGAGGATTCGTGTGTTTGTGTTTCAGGGCTTTGGTTATCGGAATTCGGGACCAGGGATGCAGGCTAAGGATGCGGGCTGCGAGGCCCAAGATGTAGGGTTGCAGGATCAAGGGTTGGTGCTTCAAGGTGCAGGGTGCCGGGTTTGACCTTTACCTTGTCTTTTCCCAACTTCTTTTTACAGTTTCAGGATATTTTGCACTAAATCTTGTGATTCACTCAAATGGACTGCAGAACGTGCACCGCTCGTTGTGGTAACTGTCATTTTATGGTAGATGGTCCTTGCTGGAGCGTACTGTTAAACGGAAATCTTGCTAGTCATCGCCACTCAGAGCTACAATGACAACGGGATAAGAAATGCTTCTTCGGAGGGTATTCCAGTCTTTCTGTTTAGAAGCGCTTCTACTTCGAAGAGTTAGGGTAGCTTCCCAGACACATTCAGAAACAAGGACTAACTGGGCCTAACAAGGGTTCCTGGGCTGTCCCGGTCCCATCTTCTCCAGCTTGGGGCTGGTGTTAAGGTCTAAACCCTAAACCCTACGTAAAGAATTCAGCGAAAAGAGGGCCACCTCAGAAACTGAAGCCTGCTTTTTAGAAAGAAGATCCCACAATCTTGAGGGCAACTATTAGGGTTTAGCTTTTAAAGTTCTGTTGCTGGAGATCTGCTGTGACTTCATACCTTCTGTGCACCAGAAGAACACAAACAATGAAATGGCAACGTCTTTGGGGCAGTTCGTTTTGAGCCCAAGTCCGCAGTCCCATTTTCTTCATGCAATGTGTTGCTCCAGAAGTGCGGCTGTACCACATGTTCACAAGTCAACGATTTTCAGTTTTCTTCTTTGTTGCATGCAGGTTTCCAGCGTCTCCGGATGAAGACAGAGTTAGGAAAGGCTTTGGGGCGTTAGGGTTCAGGGTTTAGGTTTTAGAACCACAGGCGAACCTGTCTCCATTTCGTGCTGGCCGTCTTCGCATCTCTAGTGAGCGGGTCAGGGCCTCCGACGACTGCATCAGGGATATGGGAGTTTCAAGAAATTAGGGGTACCTCCTCTCTTGGGGTACCTAACACAGGAACTCAAGTATTTTGTGGTCTATCTTGGGGTCTCGGAAACTATCATGTATGTTTCAGGGTTTGGTTTCAGAGTTTGGCTGTCATAGTTTCAAGAGGGCAGGGTTCAGGGATTTGGTGCAATTCATTTCTGGGGGGCTTGCAGGTGGTCGCAAGTTTGAGGTTTCCGTGTCAGAGAGACGAGCAGGTACCAGGGCGGCATCAGCTTGCCTTGCGGCTTCGCACGTGCCACACGTTCCGACGTCCCGCCTGGTTTGAGTCAGCAACCGGGTGATGACCAGTGGCCGTAGTGTTTGACAATCTTCGTTTGGGTCACTTCGTTTTTGTCACGGCTACGTCGAGTACTTCTTCTTGTACTGGTCGTTGTAACCAGAGCTGTCAAGGCGGCTGTGTTGCTCACATCTGCCGACTGACTTGCGAAAAAGACCCGGATTTTGCCCAAAACTTTGGCCCTCCATCCTATGAACCTTTGCAAAGGATCTGCAGAGCTATCGGTAGCAGTGCTTCTAAACCTCCATAAACCTAGACCCAAAGTCCTCAACCCTTGGACCCCAAAACTAAACCCGAAATCGTAAACATGAGAGTCCCTAATTATCTTCATCCCCAAAATCCGTAAACATCTAAACCCCAAGGGCATCGGCTGCAGCCGAGAATCTTGCAAACTTCACGGCTCTCACCTTAGAGTTTCCTGTGGATTTAGAAGGTCCTACGGGTGACTGAGTAAGTGGTTACTATATGGGTTGCAGGCGTTATTAACCGACTTACTAAGTCCCCCACAAGACCCTGGAAGTTGGGGGTTGTTTGCATGAAGGCCGCATGAAGTAAGTGAAGTCTACATAAGGTGTAGATGGGAAGGGCGGCTGCTTGAGCATTCTCTTGGTTTCAAAAGTGGCTTTCCAGGTTTTGCAAATGTGGCCGTGAGTTTGAGACTTTTGCTATGAAAGCTCTAAGTTCCCTTTTGCGGAGAAGGACCCAGGAAGCAGCTGCTAATCAGCTCCAGCTGGTCATCCCTCAATATAGAGAGCTTCTTTCTATGCAAGCTACACTTTCTACGTGTGGAGGTGTGTGTTCTTACTTTCCACTTTCAGGCCGAGTTAAGGGTAATTGGACCGAATGGCCGTAAACTTGCAGCAGGTTCGACA